AAACTGGCCTGTGGTTACATCTGTGGGGGCACATTCTGCACTGTTAATGTGAGTACCATTCTTAGGTAGATGAGCCTGAGCTCAATAAGAAAGCTGCCTGAGCAAGCAGGAGCCAACCTACAGGTGAACCTGAAGCCAGCCTGGGATACTTGTCCTTTCCTTGCTTCAAAACAAAAAGAATGGGGTGCACCTAAGCAGTAGAAAATTGGAATAACACACGGGAGTTCTCCGTCCCACCCCTTACCTCTCAGCACCACTTAAGACTTGAAATAAATGGGTTGGAATCTGAGTCATTTTTCATATTTGGTCTTTAGCTTGGGCTAAAACTGTAATTCAAATAATCACATGATTATATTACCTAGTTCCTGAAATAAAAAGTATTGCCCACCATAAGAGCTAACATGCATGGTCCAATGCTGCCTTCATGTTCCAACCTTTAAGCTACAAAGTAACTTAGCCTTGCAAAATAATTACAGTTGAATACATCTGTTATTTGCACTAGTCTGAGTTCCAATTAATTCTGGATACAGCCAACTGGCCTGGTTAAATTCTTCTGCAGCTCAACTGGAATCCTATTAGAGTGAATGGTCTAAAACTTTAAATAGGCAATTTTTAAAGCAATTCAGAGTGGCAGACTGCTGCCGGTATTTTTGTCTGTAGTTCTAGGTAAACTAAATAAAAATGCTTATTGTGGAGAAAAATGCCTCTGAGCATCTCTTCAATTGGAAAGTAAAAACAAAAAAGTTGAGCGTTACTAGTACTTATAAACGGTTTTATGTAATTCATCTGCAGAGAGGCTGTCTTTCTGGGCTCCTTGTCAGTGTTCCTGTTCACTGAGTGCATGGATGTACAACATGTTTGTCAAGGAAATCTGTTGTCTTACTACTGATATTTATGGAAGCATATATGCTTTGAGATATTTGCCTTTACAGTGTCATGAAATGATAAAAGCATGTCTAAGACCCAGAGACGACTGAAGGGAAAAATAAGAAAAGAATTGTATGATCATATCATCTATGATGGGAAATACACTAGATACCTTATATCAAATTTAGTAGAATTAATAAGCCTTTTCTTCATCATTCCTTAAATGTATAGCGCTGCTCAGTATTGTCACCCACCGCTTGCACAAAAAGTATCTGTTCAATTTATGAAGATAGACCAATGAGGATGCTCAGGGATGTGCAGCCATTGCAGAATGCAAATGGCCATCAGCAGGCTGCCACACTAATGACTAACCATAGAGGGTCTGCTGCTTGGAGAGCTGTTTGATGTCTTAGCATCTTCTTTGCCTCACATCCCTTTTAAAATGTTGCCACTGGGTTTGTTGATCACAAGATGAAATGGGAGTAAGGATGAAGAGAGGTAGCCAAAGTAACTCCTACATAAAAAGAATGTGGGCCACTTTAATTTTCTATACCAAATTGCTCCTGACTTTTTTCTTAAGTTGTTTTTTTTTTAAGATAGAAATTGTAGCAACATTTGAGTTTGAGTAAGAAGGAATTCATGAATTGGGTAATATGCAACAGAATAGAGGGCCAGTGACAAAAGGTCAGAGTTATCTAGTAGGAAAATGAGAAAGGAGAATAAATTATTTAAGAGCTGAGGATGTAGCTCAGTAGAATACTTGTTTAGCACGCTCAAAGCCACAAGTTTAATTTCCAACTCTGCATAAACAATAAATGTGCCAAAAATTTATCTAGCTGGAAAGTCCCCAGTTACATAACCATCCTAGTTGGCTACTTATTATTAGCTGAGGGTGTTAGATTTATCTAAAATAAGCCTTTATCAGAAATGAGGTTAAGTTTTGTTTATATTTGCAATCATGACCAGGGGAGATTTTGTGAGTTCCCCACACCCTTTGTGGTGCTTCAGAGCCACCAAACCACTCCCAGCCCCAAAGCTAGTGTTAAAATATTGATTAGTTAAGACATTTGTTTTCAGCCCACTACATTTTCATTTTGCTTTAACAGAATGCATATTTTATTTATGTATTACTGTATCCTGAAACTTGGTCTTGCAGTTAGTTCATTAGATTGAAACTCTAGTTAACTATTATCTCACCATTTTACGTCCTTGAAATTCTCAGTAGCATAGTGTTATTAGAAGGGAGGTTCTGGTATTGCTTACAAAATACCTTCGTTTTTGATAGATCTCACAGTGGTAGGAACAGACTTAACCCAACTACCCTTCATCACAGCAATGGGTCATTATCATTGTTAGTAAGTTAAAATAAAAACCTCAAAGACAAAGATTATGAAGTCACAAAGTACGACCATTAAAAAAATGTTCAAGTGTGGCTTTGCAGGTAACCTGAAGAAACTTTCCTGACACAAGTGGTACAAGACACACTTCCCAGTTTTCCTTTTAGGATAACTGTCAGCTTTTTCTTCAAAACTCCAATAGTCTAAATAAACAGGATTCAAGCACAAATATAAATATTTCATCCAGGTTTCTTCATCCATTAGGATGGATGTAACTCATAGTAGTCTTATCACAGGCATCTGCATGACTTGTTTGTAATGTTGGATCACATTACAGATGCTAGGTTTGAAATTTTTAAAAACTTGGGATGGGGACTTTGAGGGTTTAAAAGCCTGCACCAGGCCCGGTGTCTCTCTCTCTTCCCACTGCCTGCAGATCTGGATGCAGCTTTCATCTGCTTCTCCAGCACCATCCCTGCCTGTATGCCCCACTGCTCGCTGCCATGATGGTCATGTATTAACCCTCCGAAATCGTAAGCCAACCCCAATTAAATACTTCTTTTAGAAGAGTTGCCTTGGTCATGATGTATCATCACAGGAATTGTAACCCTAAGACAACTGTGTAGTAGTAAAAGTACACCAAAGAAAGACAAATAAGTCAACAGCATTTTATGTAGGGCTAAGACTTACAAAAAAGTGAAACGCAAAATTACAGGCAATCCCATAGTTTATGGGCTCTAAAAGCATATATTTTCTGGAATTTTCGAGGTGGGGTGTCTCACTATGTTGCCTGGGAAGGTCTCAAACACCTGAGATTCCGTGATCCTTTGGATTTGGTCTCCTGAGAGCTGACATAAGGGGTGTACAACTGTATGAACAGATTTATTTTTAATCTAGCTATGAACTCACCCAACAGTCACTGTTAAATATTTTCATTTTAGGAAATTCCTTATGTCAAAAAACAAACAAACAAACCCCCAAAACTAGCCAGGCATAACACAAGTAAACAAGTTCATGGTTTAAGATTTGTGTGTGTTCCTGTGTATGTGCACATGTGTGTCAGGTGGGCATGTCTGAATGCCCCATGTAGAGATGATGAGTGGACACTGAGTCCTACTCCACCGCTCTCCACCTATTCCTTTGGAGGCAGGGTCTTCCTGCACTTGCAGCTTGTTTTCTTGGCTTGGCTGAAATCTAGCAAGCACCAGTGGTCTTCCACATCCCTCAGAGATGGAGTTCCAGGCTCGTGCTAGGATCTGATTTCAGACACTTGAAAGTTTGTATTCTATAAACATTTTTAGTGAAAGGGACCGTATGTGATTTTCTTTGTAAAATCGATTTTAGATTGTTAATGTCTTACTGATGGCTGATTTATGTTTACATTAAAGTGCCCCCCAAAAAATATAAGACAAGTTGATTTTGTTTCTTTGGGAGAAACACTCTTACATTTAGGGTCAGGATTCTTTTTGTACTTGATTTGTTCAGGGTGACATTTTGAAAACAATATAAATAATGTGTCCCATTCCTGGTACTTGGGGTTATGAAATAAAGATAAATTTTGCCAATTGTGATGGCTATGTGCTTATAATACTGGATACAAAAAGCAAAATTTGACTTAGGATATCATCATAAAATATAATGCACTATAAAAATTTCTGAAAATTTCCCTTTCAAGACTAAACATTAGAATAAAAGCAGAAAAGCATTTGTCAGAAAATAAAGATCACACTTTTCATTGTCATTTTGAAAGCTCTTTATGAAACATACATTTAAGCTTAAATGTGCTCAATCATGGTGTATCAAAACACCTTCCTTGGTCATTAAAGCTGTCTGCAGTTGCTGGTCGTTTGTCCCTCACTTAATCAAGGCAGACATGATGTCACATATTGGGGTCCTATACAATACAATGTCTTGAAAACTAAAATTTACATCTTAAGAAATATGAAAACTTTGATCAAAGGAAATGGAATTTACCAGAATAAAAAGTCTCATCAATTTGTTACTTCTTTCTCATTTCACAAACTGTCAAGGTTAAAAAAAAATCAGATATAGAAAAACAAACACTATTTTTTTTCTTCATTATTCTACCAACATACTTCAGGGCACATCTCATCCAACCTTGGCTGGTTCTATTTTGTACAACATTTTAAACCGGTGCTTAAAATAAAAACTCTATGTTGAGAAAAGGTGTTTGAATAAATGTTGACCTAAACAAAAAATTTAAACCCTATTAAATTCAGTTTAAAAGAAAACATCTTAGGTTCAAATATAACTTTTTCCTTCACGATTAGGCAACTGATTTAAAAGCACACAACTGGGAAAGTGTTACCAACTATGAATCCATTTGAAAGAAAGGGAGTGAGGAATGTGATATGAGCTGAGCAATAAAGAAGATGGGATGCAGGCTAGAATAAACGGGTATAAATTTTATATGAAGAAATGTATGGAATGAGCAAAGGGCTGAGGCATTGTTCCCAAGGCATGGCACAGACCTCAGTTTTGCCAGTGGACATAGGGTATAAAGTTAGGCTGTGACCAGGTAACTAAGAGTTTCAGCACCAGAGGAAGAACCTAGGCTTTTATTTTTCCTGTAAAAAAATAAATAGGAAATAGTGCAATAGAGATTCCACACATATGACTCCAGAGATATTGAATGAGTAGACCTTGAGGACAAAATGGAAACTAGCGTGGACCAAAAAGAGAGAAGGCAAAGATGAGGCCCAAGCTCAGACTCTACAGAGCTCATGGGACTAAAGTATCTATACACCCAAAATTTCAAGAGCATAAGCCAAAGAATTTCTTGATACAAATTTTATTTTTCATGCTAAAATGTTTTTACAAATTTTATTTTTTCATACACAAGTATAAGAGTAACAGTTACAAGTGAATTTAAAAAATAGCATTGGGGGTGTCATGTCTATTCTTTTTTTTCCGATCACCACCACGTTTCCCTACATGAACAGCAATCACAACTATAATTAAGAACTGTACAAATAGTAAATTTAATAGATGTACCATGATGGAGGCCACTAAAAGAGTAAGTATACAGAAGATATTTTACATTCTCTATTCCACAATTTGAATTGACTGTTAGAATCTAGTAATACTGTCATGTATGTAATCAGTGGACATTCCAAATCATTTCCCCAAACCTTCTTAGTTTAGTTCTAAAGGAAATTACAAGATAAACCACACAGATATGACTGGCTAATGCTTCATGTCTGAAGCCAGCCTCTGTGCAATAAAATTCTGCATCTGGTACAGCCTGGCATCGTTGCTCCTCATCCTGGACAATTACAAGATGAAGAGAATGTACAGCACTTTAAAACTACCCAATACAGCCGATGCGGTATCTCCCCAGACTTCTAGTTTCTAAAATTCTGGGTGAATTGGTCAATTTGAACTTTCATCATCTACATGGTAGTAATATTACCTTTGGCCATTGGCACAATACTATTCTTTTGTGTTTTACAGCATACAAAATATCCTGAAAACATTTCTCTTAAACACATTTCAATTAATGTAATTAAACAGAAGGCAACAACTCCCTTCTAGAATAGTTAGACTCAACTATGAAAAGCTCATTTTGCTAAGTTATCTATGCAGTGCTTTCAGGGTCGAACACCAACCACGCTATGTTCTTCAACTTGGCCTCTGTGTTAAATGTGCAAAAAGAACTAAAGCGGAATTGCATTTTAAAACACGGAAATTCCATTTTCGTTCCCATAGTAACCACATCACTGTTGGTTTTATCTCAATTAAAGATGAGGTTCAAAACTCCTCCGTGAAACCTGTTATCTAAGGAAGCTAAAGACACACAATGTAGTTCCAATTAGGAACTGCGAATGCATATTGCTGTGTAAATAGATCTCAGATATAGAATTCAAATTTTTGATTCAAGAATATCACAAATGTATTTATTTTAATTGAAAAATAAAATTTTGAGTAATGAGTCTTATCCAACTATTTCTGATATGTAGTATTTTTCCTTTAAAAACTTAAGTACCTCATTTAAAACCCAATTTCACAAGTGAGAGGCAATCCAGCTGTCCCCTCTAAGATGTACTCTGATCCAAGCACCTGCTGCACTTTAGTGATCTCAAACTATCCCCTGGTTTACCTCCTGATTATACATCAGCAACTTTAAGTTTAGCTCACATTACTTATCAAAGAGAGAAAACGTTATTTGAAACCCTAAAGCTCTTCATATTTTTAAGGTATATGAACAATCTTCTAAAATAAGAAGCACTGTATAAATACCTGTTTACTTAAACCCTTTCCTTTAAAACACAAACAGAATAGCAAAGACTCAGCAACACACCTGCCACCATAAAGTCCAATATTACATCACAATAAGGCTAGGAACCAAAGAGGACTCATTAGGGCCAAGTTTCAAGGCTCTTAAGATGTTAATCATGCTTTGATGTCACCTCCTATCCCCTTTTACACAACACTGCCATTTCCTAAGTGCAAGTTATATTTTATTCTTGTAACTTTTCTTTTATCAGAAAGTAAGTACTTCATTAAGGCCAAGTAAACAGGAATCAAAAGAAAACTGAGCACAAAAGAAAGTTACGGTGTATTAAATGTCACCTCAGTCAAGATAGTCTTTCAAGCAATTTCAAGGAGTTTATCTCATGTCTAATATTTTCATACTGTATTTCAAATGTAATAATCTTACTTATAAATAATTCACACTGAAAATGTCAGTTTTATTTTTATTAGAATTATTGAAGAGTATTAAACATAAACACAAAAATTAAGTTCCAGGTAAGGTTGGCTCTATAGTATTCTACATTGTTCAATTAACTTTAGAAATATTTCAGATAGCAATTCAAAGTCACCAAAACCTTAGCCCCTCAGTATTAACTTCAAGAACTTTTTTTTTAAAGATTTATTTATTTATTATGTATACAGTATTCTTATTTGCATGTATGCCTCCAGGCCAGAAGAGGGCACCAGATCTCATTTTAGATGGTTGTGAGCCACCATGTGGTTGCTGGGACTTGAACTCAGGTCCTCTGGAAGAGCAGCCAGTGCTCTTAACCTCTTAGCCATCTCTCCAGCCCTAACTTCAAGAACTTTGATTCTATTTTTTACATGCATTTCTGTCTGTCCGTCTCTCTTTCTGTGTGTGTATGTACACAATTTGCAGGAGTCAGTTCTCTCCTGCTGCTGTGATACGCAGAAACTGAACTCAAATCATCAGGCTTGGTGGCGATCATCCTTATCCACTGAACCATTATACTGACCACTTCTAATTTTGGATTGCATGAAGCCGATTTTACCATGGCTTTCTGATGGGTGTTAAATGAAAGGACACAAACATGAGAGACAGAGAACCTAGTTCTGGCCGCAATGAAGGTATTTGCTGGTCTGCAATTTTAAATTTAAATTTCTCACACTGGTGAGAAATCACCTAAGAAAAGCAGGCAGAAGAGTAACAGCCAGTGTGTTGCACACAATATCCCCCCAGAGGCTGGAACACTGTTGGACTAGGGTAGGACAGAATTCACTTCTGAGAGCATGGAGCAACACTATAATGTCTTCATCAAGTGCACAGCTAAGCTATGAAAGTATTCATAAAAATATATCAATACCTACCCTTTCTCCATGCCAGAAGCCAGACTCAGCAGTGGCCTAACAAAAGCTAAAAGTACCACTGACACTTGCAAATGTTTTTATGGATACTGTTTCGCTTTTCCAAGATACGTTTGTTTTTTGTTTTTGTTTTTTTTTTTTTTTTTGTTTCCGTTTTAACTTTCAGCTTGTTACCACCTGGCTTACCCAGTAGTTATTTCAATCTCCTTGACTCCTCATAGGTACTCTGCATCTCTCTGTCTTTTATCTTTTACTTGGGTTTAAATTTCAAGTTTTTTGTTTTTGTTTTTTTATGGCTCAAACATCATCAAAGTTAGACATTAAACCTACATGTCTATATGTGATCAAATTTTAAAGAGTTAAAAGTTTCTGAACCTGAGTCACTGGGGGCAAAGCAGCTTCCAATGGCTGCACCACAGTCCTGCCTCTTCAGGCCTTACACATGCATTCTAGAAGGTGAAAACAAATTTCCTCACTGCCACAGTACCATCCCACAGTAAAATGCACACAGTAAAAAGCAACACAGAAGGTGGTTATATGAGGCATATGTAAAAGTTGACTTTGGAGAAAGGAATTAATGATGATTGTGTACACCATGTAATTAGGCATGAAGGATAAGGACAATGCACAAGGGAAATCATAAAAAGATTTCTTTACATTTTGTTTTTATACATAGAAAGTCACCAAGAAACAAAAGTAAACTGAGTAAACATGAAACTACACAGTTACTGGTCAAGAAGAGACACAGACTTGGAGGCCTAACTAAAGATACCCGTGATTCTGAAGTGATAGGATTAAACTTCTAGACACATGGAAAACCAGATGACTCACAGACATTGGTTGTGTCAGAATGAGGAAATAGAGGTAATGGAGTGAGTTTAACTTGGAAAGTGTGAACACAACTAGACAGTTGCAGGCCGAAGGAGAATGAATGTGGGGTGAGGGGGTCACCAGCAAGCACAGGAAAAGAAACCTTGCTACAAAGACTACTGTGACTAGATAATGAATGACTGTGAAGGATGGCCTGGGCATGACAGGGAGGACAGCTGACCTCGTAACACCCGAGGAAAGCAAGATACAAAAGAAATGGATGTTTGCTGTGTTCGCTCACATGGAGAATATGGTATGAAAGCTAAGGGAAGATATAGTGTGCATAAGGAACAGGATTAAACCACAAGAATTTATATTTTATACTTGAGAACCAGACTGATAAATAGGCTACACACACAACTAAGGTGGGCACTTGGGTATGGGAAAAGGAAAACCCAATTTCTGTCATGAGTTAAAAATTAAAAAAAAAAAAAGGAAATTAACCTGGTATCATACTTAGCTCCTATGATTAGTGTTATGTATTTTAAAGGGGCCCTAGAATTTTCTGAGTGAAAAAGAAAAAACACCCTATGGAAAATAACACTGAAAATATAAGTCATCAGGTGAGCACATCCATCATACTTGAAAACAATGTTAGATGAAATTAAAGTAAAAAGGGAATACTTAACTGCAGAAGCATCAAATCAGTAGGATATATAATGATTAAAATTTTAAAAGCAAACTACAGGTTTATTTTGATGTAGCCACCAGTGTTAAATGAAATGATTTCTAGAATAATTTCTAGTAAAAAATAATTTCCTTCCATAAATCATTCATAACATTGAAGATACCTAATCATTATGAAAATATCTATATAATTCTTAATATGAAAAGCAACATAAGGTAAAGCATCAAAATGTTTTATTGTATATCTATTTTATGCCACATCCAACAAGTAGTTGGAATCTACTGATACTTTATATTTTTCTGAATTTCATTTTCCTACTTTATTTTGTTTAACAACTTGCTTTCCTTCTTAATCACTACCACTTCATTTGACATTTATCAAAGCTGTATAAAGGCCATGCACTTTATTTACAATATTGTACACAAAGGGAATATGTTTAATAGTCACACAGAAAGTTCACAAAACTATACATGAAGCACATATTGAGAGGTTCTTACAAAGTATAGAACAGAATTTTGGTAAATATTATGAACCATTAGCTAAAAATAAGACAAAAACATGCAACTGAGTAGAATTTCAACAAATTAAAGGCTAAAAACACTTAGCTAATAGTTACTTTATCATATAGTCGAAAGACTGCCATCATATAAGAATGAGAGTTTATAAAACAGGTTAGTTTTTAAAAGTCCTCCATGAGTAATGGATTTTCAATAATTTCATATAAAAATTTTCAGAGGTTACTTTTCAAATTACGTTCATGACTGAACTATTATCAATAGAACTATAGATTAAGTCTATGACTTTTATATAATTATTTATTGTATTAGAGAAAGTCTCAGTTTTTCATCTTGGGAACAAAGAAGATAGCCAATCAGTTATCTCACGGTTGAGGAAAGGCTCTTGGTACGAGCAGTCATCGACACAGAACAAGAGTGTCCTGGTGTAAAGTTTAGACATGCTCATTTCAGGGTGTCCTGGGCAGTACCTCCTCACTGACAGTTCTGAACGTGTCTCAGGTGTGTCACCCGCTCTATCACACCTCCTCCAATTTTACTGTTGTGGCTGAAGCACATTTAGATACTCAGACTGGGCCAACTGGTAAGTCGTGTTCCTTCCACAATCGACGTACTGGTACCTCTCCTGAGATATTTGCTCAGAGTGTCCAAAGTATGTTGTTGTTACAGTTACTCTAAAAATGAAACAAATTGAAAGAATATTCAAGTTATATGTAAAAATTACCTCAAGAGGATTATTTGAAACTAAAATCAAGCCAATATGAATTTATATTTCATAAGTTAACTAATGTCGTAAAATTACTTATTGTGAAATACAATTATCAGTTATTGATCATTTGGATTTGGTATTACTGATGACAATATTATAGGCATGGGAGTCTTAGGGAACATTTCTTCAGCAGATCCAAAAATGATAATTGAGCAAACCCTACCCAATAACCTGCTTAAGTAACATGTATATATAAACATATAAAACATGTATTTATATTTCTTTATAAATATACAAAACATTTATACAATGTTTTATAAGTATAATTAAAAGTTATTTTGACTTAAAATAGTTTATAACATGCTTAAATAGAATCATATTCTTCCCTCATCATAGGAAAATGGAAAATTAAATGTCAGTCACTGACTAAAATATGTTGTATATACATAATTAACACACAATTTATTAACCCAAAGCATTATTCCTCCTTGTTGCTGTAAGTTTACTTACCAAGCAGAAAGGAACAGCTGTTGCCTCAACCTGTGTGCTAACCCTGTCATTATCCTGAGCTCCTACAATGCCTGGCAGCTCTTAACTGTGTCTCTGAGCAACCATACTCTAGCTAGCTAAGTGAGAAAACATTTCCATTTCACAAGGTACTCTTGTAAGACTGAAGGCCCTCTAAGGCAGCTTTCATGAGGATGCATAACCTATAAGACTTTATAAACTCATATCTTATCAAGAGCTAGTTTTGCAAACATGGCCATACTTACTGCATCATAAGTACTATGTTGTGCACTTTGATGGAAATCAGTGTACAGAAGTCACTGTAAAAGAAATTAAAATAGGAAGAACAATGTTATTACATCATTAACCAAAACTTCTGTTAAACCTAGCAGACACTGAATACTGATTTTTTTTTTTCCCTTTGAGATGGAATCTCCATATGTTGTATAGGTTGACTTCAATAATCTCCTCCATCTCATCCTCTTCAATAGCTGGGAATATGGGCCCATTTAACTGTGCCTAACAAGACACTATTAAGAATACACAAGAAGTTCTGGGAAGATGGCTTATGGGTAAAATGCCTGCTGTGTAAGCATGAGTTTCAATATCAAGCACTCAGGCGGGAAGTCAGGCATAGCAGGATGCACTTGTAAGCCCAGTACTAGAGGTTGGGGACAGGCTATTAGGGGCTTGCTGGCCAGCCAGCATTACCAAACGAATGAGTTCTAGGTTTTTAGACACAGACCCTGTCTTAAGAAAAAGGTAGACTGATAATGGAAAACACTCAACTTCAACCCTGGCCTCCAAAAATACATGCATGGGTGTGCTTATTCTCACACATGTAGGACACACACACTCACACACTCACTCACACACACACACACACACACACACACACAAAATTACAAAGTCATAAGAACTATTAAGTCCTAAGAGAGTATTATTATTATGTAATAGAAATTTCAGTACTCCTATACTGAATGAATATACTGTAACTAAATGGTAACTAAAAACAAGTGATACATACATATAATCCTGAAAATAAAGACTTTTGTGGCTATAAGTACACATGAAGACATGTTATCTACACTGTAGAGTGCAAAGAAGAAAAGCATGCCCAGAGAACAGAGTATACAGTGAAACATATGCTCATTTTAATTGATAAAGTTATACAAATTAAGAAAACACAGGGTAATGTTACTAAAATCAGCACTTACTACATGTAACTCATTTCTTCAGCAATAACTGTGGGTACCGTATAATCAATCTGAAGGCAAAAACAACAAAACAGCAAGGAAACATATCAACAGAGGATAGGATCCAAACACTAAACATAATCAATCAAAACTTTTCAAGCTAGAAATCTTTTCTTTGATGACTTAGTTTATACTCTTAAGGGACACATGTCCAAGTCTTTGTGGACATTCCCACCTCATTCCATTTTACAACACACAGTGTGAAGAACCATTTAGTTCACTCAGACTGTCCCTGACTGAGGCTTACCTGCTTCATATCCAGTGGGCCAATGTTAGTTATGTTGTTTAAGCGTGCCTTTCCAATAACTGTTTTTGAAAACTGAACTTGAGCAGTGATGTTTTCAACTTCAACCGAATAATAGTTATTGTTTGTTATATTTAGTGTGTTCTGTAAAAAAAAAGCAGAAAACATACATTATCTTTGAATATGGCCTCAAATGTGAACTGAAAATTATAAATCAAATGACTTTAGGCAAAACTATGCCACATATATTAGGAATAGAAAAATATTAACAAAAATGTCAAAGAACATTTTACAGAGGTCTATGTGCATAACACTAAATTCAAAACTGTGCAAACCAGACCCAGAAAGTATATTACATAAAAATATGGAAAAGTAAATATTAAAAAAATACATTTTGCCGGGCGTTGGTGGCGCATGCCTTTAATCCCAGCACTCGGGAGGCAGAGGCAGGTGGATCTCTGTGAGTTCAAGACTAGCCTCCAAAGCCACAGAGAAACCCTGTCTCAATAAATCAATATATATATATATACATATATATATATATCATAGTTTTAGCAAAAGTGGGACTAAACTTAATTATAAAATTTCATTTAAATGTTTATGTATTTTATATATATGTGTACATATATAATGCACACACACATATGCCTCTACCAACTACACAGTTTTTAAAAAAAAAAACAACAAACAACACCCCCCCCCCCAGTTTTGAAAGGGAAAACAAATGTTTTCAGATAGGATCTCAAGCAGTCCTGTAAACTTTGAACTTACTAGGTAGCTAAGGATGACCTTGAGTTTCTCCTCCTATCAGTGCTCCCATCAGAGACAGGCACCACCAAGTCTGGTTTTGTGTGGCCCAAGGGACTAAATTAGACCTTTGCGCATAATAGGCAAACACACTACCAAATGAGTGGCATTATCAGCCTGTTTACATGAAAATGGCATTTTAAATTTACATGCTTGTAAATTTATACCAGATCAAAATGTAGAGAAAAAGTGTATAGAGAAATCAGAATGGTCTGGTATAAAAAAAGACAGCAGGACTTTCCTTTTTGGGAGCCTGTGAGGGGAACAGGCCCATACAGTAAGACTAAGAAACTGTAGTATAGTGTCTGCTTCCCAGAAGTCCTTTCACAAGGTCAGGAATTTGGATAAGGGTCTCCATTCCCTCAGGGCTTAAGGAAAGTCAGGTCTTTGCTTAGTAAGGCAGTCTTTCTTATCTAGCAAGAGGAATTTGTGGCCCTTTCACCAACATGACTGGCCCTACTGTCTCTGATTTCAAGCCACACCCAGTTTACATGCCCTTTTAGTATCATTTAATTCCAGGCACAATAAAAAGTACAGTCTTTTTTTTTTTCAATTAAATGCTGATGACAGCCATTCTGATTTACCATTAGATCCATGTCCATATCCTTCCCCCACCCCCTCCAAAACAACAACAGCAAAACAAAAACAACTCCACATATCCTCTTGGGAACCTGAACCCTCCTATGGAAGCAGATCTCCAGCACACATGTGTATCTTTCATATATGAACATGTGAGATTGTCTGTTGATGATTAAAGGTCTATATGTAGGCTGATGTATATACTTTGTTAGCAAATGGATGTATATATTGTTGAGAATTAATTCTTCCTCAGTAGAGTCAAAATCAGTATGTATGTTACAGGAGTTTTCAAGTGTCTGGTAACAAAGATTTAAGTGTTTCCTTAGTGCAGTGCCAGGGACTGGTATTTGGTATTAGGATACACATTGATTGATACATATGGCTTTTCAGCCACTGCTCCTGACTGACAACTCCCAGTTCATTTACATTAGAATATGTTATTTTGTCCAACTGCAGTTGCCTATCCTTCAATCATGCTTGAGGGACCAAAAATTAAAATTAATAAAAGTTTAAAAACTTGGGTCCCAAACCTATATAGAAAAAGGGAACTTCTAATGGTTTAACTCCTTAAATCAGGAGTGCCTTATCTGGCACCTGAGCCCCTGCTCTCAGAAAAGGGGAGGTAACTGTCCACCACTCCAGTTAACATTCCTCTGCTAATTGCTGGTCATAAAGGTCCCCAGCTAGTTGCAAAGATCCTCTGGCCCAGGGGATAACTGACAGACCTTATGGCCCCATAACCCTGCAAGTCCATGCCCTGTCTTATCTCACTCAAATGGATCTTGTGTAAAATATAGTTACTGCTTGACTCTGTACTTTGTATGACCTTAAGTAATCATGGGAAAACCTGAAATTTGGGCTTCAACCTTACGGTATGCCCCTTTAAAAGCTTCTCTATTTGGCTGGTTGGGATCTCATTTCCCCGCCATAGGGATAGATCCAAACTGGCCAGCTTGAACAGTTAAAAGAAACCTTGGGTTAGTCTCTGGGATTCCACAAACCTGGCACAACAATGGTGATGCAGCTAAGGCTTCATAAAAGGTGAAAAAGGGCACAGCCATCTCTACATAGGCAAAACATGTGTTGGGAGTATGACACACCCCAAATCCATGGGGACAGAAGCCACTGCTCTGCCCTTTACTCTATCTTTTCACTCATCTTTGGACCTGTAGCCCTTAAAATACCTCTTCCAATGAATCAATAAATGCAAGTATATTTCTCCCTTGAGTTCTATGAGCTCTTCAGACAAACTAACCAAACCTAAAAGGCAGGTTATGAGACTCCCACATGAGTCTACCAGAAGTTTCGGAGGTCTGAGCCTGAAACTGGCATCTGAAGCAGAGAGTAGGCTGTTGGCACTGAATCTCTAACCCTGAAGTCTGAAGTCTACCAAAAGTTGGCCAAGTGTCAGAAGTGAATGAATTCACAGGGCACTCAGCTGGGTCTTCTGCAGAATTGCTACTTGATGCTGAAGAGAAATCCTCTACATTGGAAGAGAGAACACACTGCTTGTTTTTGTTTTGTCCAGGGCATCCCCATACATTCTTAGTTATTATAAATGGAAATATTAGTTATTTTATAAATTGCTATGACCAACAAAAAGCAACTTAAGAAAGAATAGCTTGTTCCAGCTTCTATTTGAGAGGACATAGTCTATCATAGAAGGATGATGGAGATGCTTGAGGAAGCCAGTCACACTGCACATTCTTAGTAACCATAGAATAATGAGTACTGCTGCTTAGCTTGCTTTTTCCTATGGGTTCAGTCCAAGACCTCAGCCCATAAAATGGGACTGCCCACACTTAGGGAGGGTATCTCCACCTTAACCTAATACAACAGTCCCTCACAGTGGTACCCAGAAGCTTGTCTACTAGATGTTTCTAGTTTCTGTCAAGGTGACAGACAGTCAATACTACCAATCACAAGCATGAATGCACAAGCCTTATTTGAAGGGGCAAGAATGAAGCCTAATGCTCAACTCAATAGAAATTCTATTTCTAACCTAGTTCAATATTCCTTTATTTTATTATGAGGAGATATCTAAAATTGTGAGAATCCTGTATAATTATTTAAAATACAGTAAGATACTCTCATTTAAATACACTTGTATTTAAAATGAAATGAAACACTAATGAGAATTCTTTCAAACAGATCACAGCATACCCTGGGCTTAAAGCCATAAACATCTGTGATGGCACAGGTCCGTTTCAATGCAGTGATCAACCATGCTCTTCTTAGCCAAATTCTAATGTGTAAATGTAGACACAAGATCTTCTGTGAAGTTTTTAAAGTTGGTGACTGTATAATCAGTTTTCAAAATCACATTTGTGGTAAATCCATAGGTCATTTTCACATGTTCTAACTTAAAACAATCAGGTCATCAACTTCATATTTAAGCAGAATTAAATAAAGGTTTATTAAAGGTGGCAGAATTTTTGTTTCATAAAATGGTTAGAAAGCAAAAATACTGTATTCATAACATCTATTGAATCAACTGTTAACACCTTGGTAAGAAATACCTGGAGTCAAATGTTGAAAAGTAAATTGACTATTTTTTTTTTGCCAGAAAATAACTTCAAATGTTAAATGATTCTCAATATATTCAATGCTATGAGATAATTACTTAACATTATTGACAGAACCAAAAATGGTAGTAGGATCAACAAAGCAAATTCGACACCAGTCAGAATGGGTGAGTGGCCAGTCTCAAAGTAGACCTTAACTACCTCTGCAGCTGCATTCTGCCTACCAAGACCTTCCCCAGGCCAATGCCATCCTAGCTTGTCCCTGGCCCTACAGCTGCTGGGCCCCCAACACCAATCACAGCTGGCTTCCACCACTGAGGCAAAGACCACATCAGTTAGAATGGACCCAGGACACAGAAGGCAGAATATAACTCTAACAGACTCCATAGATTCAGACACAGTCTACAACATCTGAAAGAACAGCCTCAGCAACTACAATGGAGGCCAGGTCAGATCTAGAGAACCAGGAACATTACCAGATCAAGGGACCCAAGGCACTCCAAACCCCAACAGAGACACCCTACTGGACCTGAAGACTCATCAATCACCAGAACCCTTGACCCCTTAGACCAGAAGAACTTAGAAGAAACAGAAACCAACGAACAAGACACCTATCCAAGACAAACACTGGAATCAACATCTAACCCTATAATCACCCGAACTCCAGAAACCTAAATGCCAGTCAGTGTAAGAAGACAGTCATTAACAGAAAGGGCAATATTTCACCACCAGAACCCAGCTATCCTATGACAGCAAGGCCTGAACATTGCAATGCAGCTGAAGCACAAATAAACGACCTTAAAAATAACTTTATGAAGATTGAGGTCCTTAAAGAGAAAATAAAAATTTCCTTTAAAGAAATGGAGGAAAAGACAACCAAAAATTGGAGAAAACCAATAAATCTCTTAAAGAATGACAATAAAAACCAAGAAAATAACAAATGGTTGACATAAACAAATAAAACTGTTCAAGACCTGAAAATGGAAATAGAAGCAGTAAACAGACACAGTCACAGACAGACAGACAGACAGACAGACAGACAGACACACACACACACACACACACACACACACACACACACGCGCGCGTGCACACATACTGAAGGAATTCTGGAAATGGAAAACCTGGGTAATGGATCAGGAACTTCAGAAACAAGCATCACAAACAGAATACAAGAGATGGAAGGGTCTTAGGCATTGAAGATAGAGGACATAGATTCATTGGTCAAAGAAAATGTAAAACCTAAAACATTCCTAACACAAAACATCTAGGAAATCTGTGACACTATGAAAATACCAAACATAAGACTAACAGGAATAGGGGAAGAATCCCTGCACAAAGGCCCAGAAAATGTATTCAACAAAATCATAAAAGAAATATCTCTCAACTTAAATAAGGACATACGTATGGAAATAGAAGAAGCCATACAGAACACAAAGTAGATGGGATCAGGAAAAAAGTCCTCTCACCACATAATATTCAAAACTAAACCAGAAAAAAGAAAGAATATTAAAAGCTGTATGAGAAAAAGGCAGACCAATCAGAATTCTCTTCTTTATACATTACTTCTCAATGGAGACTCTAAAAGCCAAGAGCCTGGAAAGATCACTTGCAGACTGTAAGAAACCACGGATGCCAGCCCAGACTACTATACCCAGCCAAACTTTCAATCACCATAGATGGAGAAAACAAGATATTTCATGACAAAGTCAAATTTTATCAATATCTAGCCACAAACCTAGCTCTACAGAAGGTACTGGAAGGAAAAATCCAACCCAAAGAAGTTAGCTACAGCCATGAAAACATGGGCAACAGATAATGCCACACCAATACACACACACACACACACACACACACACACACACACACACCACCACCACCACCACCACTACCAGCCACCAGCAACAAAAAATTAACAGGAATTAACAATTACTGGTCATCACTATCTCTCAGTATCAATGGAGTCAATTTGCTAATAAAAATACACAGGTTATCAGAATGTAAATGAAAACCAGATCTATCCTTTTGATGCCCTTCTGATGCCCTCAACATGAAAGAAAGACATTACCTCAGGGAAAAAGATTTCCCAATCAGATGGACCAAAGAAGCAAGTTGGTAAAGCAATCCTAATATCTAAGAAAATAGACTTTAGAATTAATCCAAAGAGATGAAGAAGCGCATTTCATATATATCAAAAGAAAAACCCACCAATTGATGCCTCAATTCTGAGTATCTATGCCCCAAATATAAGGGCACCCACATTTACAAAAGAAACACTACTAAAGCTAAAATCACATATTGAACCCCACACATTAATTGTGCGAGACTTCAATAGGCCACTCTCACCAAAGAACAGGTTATCTAGAAAGAAACTAAACAGAGAAATACCAGAACTAACAGATATTATGATACAAATGAACCAAACAGATACCAACGGAATGTTTCACCCAAACACCAAAGAATATTCTTTCTTCTTAGCACCTCACAAAAGCTTCTCCAAAGTTGACCACATACTGTGTCACAAAGAAAATCTGAACTGATACAAAAGCATTCTAACAACACCTGTACCTTATCAGATCAGCTTGGATTAAAGTTGGAGTTTGACAAACTTACAGAAAGCCTACAAATTCATAGAAACGGAGTAACTCTCAACTAACTGCATCAAGGAAGAAAAAAAGAAACTGAAGACTTCCTAGAATTCAACGAAATTGAACACACAACAAAATCAAACTTATAGGACACAATGAAAGCAGTGGTAAGAGGAAAGTTCATAGCAGTTAAGTGCCTCCATAAAGAATTAAAAAGATTAAATGCAAACCTCATTAAAATCCCAACATAATTCTTTACAGACCTTGAAAGAACAATACTCAACTTCATATGGAAAAACAAAAAACTCAGGATGGCTAAAATTATCCTGTACAATAAAAGAACTGCTAGATCCCTGATCTTAAGCCCTACTACAGAACAATAGTAATAAAAGGCAGCATGGTATTGGCATAAAGACAGACAGGTGGATCAAAGAATGGAATCAAAGATTCAGACATAAATCTACACACCTATGAACACTTGACTTGTTACAAAGAAGCCAAAACTATACAACGGAGGAAGGAAAGCATCTTCAATAAATGCTGTTGGCATAACTGGATATCAGAATGTAGAAGAATACATATAAACTCATCTATCACTCTGCTCAAAATTCAAGACAAAGTAGATCAAAGACCTCAACATAAATCCAGTTACACTGAACCTGATAGAAGAAAAAGTGGGGAACAGCTTTGAAGACATTGGCACAGGAGTCAACTTCTTGAACAGAACACCAGTAGCACAGAGACTAAGATTAACAATTAATAAGCAGGACCTCATGTAACTGAAAAGCTCTTACAAGGAAAAAGACACTGTCAATAGGACAAAAAGGGAGCCTACAGAATGTGAGAAGATCTTTACCAACACCACATCTGATGGAGGGCTGTTCTCTAAAATATATAAAGAACTCAAGAAACTAGATATCAAAAGACAAATAATCCAATTAAAACGTGGTGTATTGATCTAAACAGAGAACTCTCAACAAAAGAATGTCAAAGGCAGAGGAACACTTAAAGAAATGTTCATCATTCTTAGCTAGCAGGGAAATACAAATCAAAATGACTCTGAGATTCCATCTTATACCTATCAGACTTGTTAAGATTAAAAACAAAAATGACAGCTTATGCTAGAGAGGATGTGGAGCAAGGGGAACACACCTCCATTGCTGGTGGGAATGCAAATTGTACACCCACTTTTGAAATCAATATGGTGGTTTCTCAGAAAACTGGAAATCACTCTCTCAACCCAGAGATACAACTCTGGGTCAATCATACCATAAGTACACTTGCTCAATTATGTGCATAGTGGCTTTATTTCTAATAGCCAGAAACTGAAAACAACCTAGATGCTCATCAATCAAAGAATGGATAAGAAAATCTGGTATATTTACAAGTTGGAGAATTACTAAGCTGTTAAAAAAATAATATCAGGAAATTTGAAGGTAAATGGATGGGACTCGAAAAAGTCCTGAGTGTGGTAACCCAGACCACGAAAGACAAACATGGTAAGTACTCACTCATAAGTGGATATTAACTAGAGGAATGTATGGAGGCTGCTATTGGGATATGAAAGAAATAAAATTAATAAAACACCAAATCATATTCATGGAAAATATTGCAGCAAGGGGTCAGCAGCAAGCATTCTCAGAGTATATGCGTGGTTGTACAACACAAAGAATGGAGTTGAGGCCTTTGGGAAGAGTGTGCACTTACCGTGATATTTAAATATATGGTTCGCTTTTGAAAATCATAACTGACATAGGCTGATTTTACGCCAATGTACTTCACATCAATAGATCGAGGGAAAAGGAAAAACACAGCCAATCCAGACAGGAGCAGGCAGACAGACACAGATGCCATCACATACAGCTTTCTGAAAAGAAAAAGAGAGTGCTTACATACATGCCATCTAAAATTACATAGAGCAACATGTAAGGAAGTTATTTCCATTTGAATTCTTCTGCCACATATCATAGAAGCAAGAACACATATTTAATTTGACCAAATGACTCTAAAACTATTAGCTAAGGTTGGTATTACCAAGAGTTAAAATAATCTCTTTAGAAGATGAACTGTCATTTTTGAAAACTGATTATTTCAGCCTTATAATGAAATATTTACTGAAATGATTTTCAATCCAGACTTTACATTAGAATCAAGTTTAGGGCCCTTTACAATCCAGAATCCAGGCGTCCATCTGGATTCACGGAAGCAGGATTTGAACTGGAGAGTCTTATTTCCTGACACAAACACACAGCTCCCTCTCCTCATTATCATCAGTCCTTTTTCTCCCAAAGTATTCATGTCCTCAGTTCTAAAATACTGTTTACACTCATCAACTGGGCAATGAGATGTTACTCTGTTTGTTTACCTCAGTGCAAAGAGTACGCATGTATAACAGAAAACAGATAAGTCAAATGTCTTTTCTTTTTCCTTCAAGGTTATACTCAAAACTATGGTTTCAGATTTCCTGGGCACTTCAACATGCAGGGCTCTACTAAGGGCCAATTTCCTTCTGAGTCACCTTCCTTGTGACCTACTGTTTGGCCCACTCCCTTCTCCCCCAAACTTCCTATACTTCAATCAAGTTAACTGCATACACATTAGAATATAACTTCCCAATGATTTTCTAGGTACTTTTGATTCCTTAAAAAAAAGAAAGGAAAATGGCCTATTAAAAAGAAAGAAAGCAAATGAACAAAATTTCACGGAACTGCTACCACAGAGTTCATGTTGCTAAGTGAAACAAACCAGTCAATCAGCCAATTCCCACTCATTTGCTGTGGAAGTTTTTCAATCTTACTAACAATGATCTCCAAGTAACCAATAAACAAACTCATATTTGTCATACCTGTAATATTCCCATAGGCACAAAACATTTTAAGCACAAAAAGAATTTAAAAAGTCATTGTCATCAAACATCTTACCATTTTTGGATTTCCTATACTTTAAGTTGTTTTATTTTTAATTACTCGTATACACACACACACATACACACACACACACACACACTCACACACTTATTTGCTTCGTGTTATTTGAGACAGGGTCTTACGTAACTCAAAGAGACACAACCCAGAGAGAGCTTGAACTTGGTATATAGCTGAGGATGGCCTTGAACTTAAGATCTTCCTGCTTCTACTTCCTGGTACTGGAATTATAGGTGGGTGTCATCATGCCTGGCTGCTTTTATCATATTTGACAACTATTCTCAGTATAAATTTTTGAAAAGTGGAATTTCTGCACCAAAGACTGATGGCTTATATAGTTTTGCTAGAAAATACAAAATGCTTATTCAACTGGCAAGACACGAGAATGCTTGTGTTCACTCAGTGGTGCCAACAAAGCAAGCTGACAGAGTTCTGGGCTTCTGACAATCTGAAGGAAATGATGTCTCTGTGTAGACTGAATTTGCATTTCTTTAAGGAACAAGATGAAGTATATTTTCCTTCATCTAAAGGTCAGTTATATTTCTTTTTTTATGGAGTACTTTCTAAAGCCTCTATTTTTATCCCCCTTTGTGTAGCTGGCTTTTTTCTTTTCAAACTTGGATGTTCTGTACAGAAGGGGATCAGTCCTCTGCATGATATGATTTGCAGACACTATTTCTCGACTTATCATTTGTCTTTTGATTTCAATTAAGATTTTGTTTTCAACCTGTGGAAGTTTATCTATACTAAGTCAATTGTGTTTTTTCATTATGAGTGGATTCTAAATCATAGGTATTGAAAAGGCTTTCCACTTTGAGATTATATATTTGGCCCAACTTTTTTCACCTCTCTATGAATTTTAAAATAAAAGGCCACATTGGTTTACATATGGCTTGGTTGATATTAATTCCATGACTGCTAAATATTTTGTTCAATAGCTTATTTGATGCTTTGAGGCCAAGTAGTAGTGAGCCAATATAATTGTCTGTCCTTTACTCATTAACTGAGTCTCTTGCTCCAATGTCCAAAGGCCTTTTCTTCTTCTTTAAACCTCCAAAGTTCATGACTTTCAGGGTGAGGGTGTCTCTTTCTGATACACACAATAAAGCCTTCTTTTATTCTAGTCATGTGTACCTCAAGTAAATCTTCAGTAATTAATCTCAGACCTCTTATGTGCTTCTGTGTGACTGCAATTAAATACACCTTGTTTTCCTTATTTTCTGTTATTGTTCTCAGATTTTTATTATGTATGTATGGTAGTTTGTAAGTGGCTCCCATACTCATAGGTAGCAGCACTATTATGAGGTGTGGCTTTGCTGCAGTAGGTGTAGCCTTGTTATCACAGTAGAGATGGCTTTAATATCTCATATATGCTCAAGCTACACACAGTATTTCAGATTACTTCCTGTTGACTGCAGGTCAAGCTGTAGGAATTTCAGCAGCTCTTTCTCCAGCATCATGTCTGTCTGCAGGCTACCATGTTGCACCATGATGATAATGGACTAAGCTTCTGAGAATGTAAGTTACCCCGATTAAATATTTTTCTTTTAGAAGAGTTTCTGTGGTCACGGTGTCTCTTCACGACAATTGACAGTATGTATGGAGGTTTAAGTAAGAAGGCCCCCATACACTCAAATATTTTAATGCTTAATCAACAGGGAGTGTGGCGCTACTGAGAAGGATTAGGAGGTGTGGCCTTGGAGCAGGTGTGACCTTGTTGGAGAAGTGTATCTCTAGGGGTAGGCTTTGAGGTTTCAAAAGCTCAAGCCTGGGCCAGCATCTCTCTCTTCCTGCTATCTGTGCAGTTTGATGTAGAACTGTCAGCTACTTCTCTAACACCACACTTGCCTGTTTGCTGCCATGTTCCCTGTTATGATGATAATGAACTAAGCATCTCAAACTGTAAACAAATCCCAATTAAATGTTTACTTTCATAAGAGTTACCATGGTCATGGTATCTCTTCAAAACAATAGAATACTAACAGGGTCTGTATGTTTACATGTGTCTTGTTTATTCCATTTCTCTCACATTTTCCAGGGTATCACATTTGTACTGTGTACTTCCAATTTTATAGAAAAAGTAATTTTTTACATATTTTAATGGGTCTGTTGGTTCTCATTTCATATCCTTCTACCAGTTATTGCATTTCTGAACTTTTCAATGTCTTAAACTACTGTCATACCTTCTATAGTTTAAATTTTGCATATACTTAAGTTTCCATCTGTGTGTGTGTATGTTTCAGTTTTCAACATTATTTTGAGTTACTGTTCTTCATGTTCTATACTGCATACTGGGATGGGCTAAGGTTGGCTTGGCCCACATGAGTACTCAACCCCTTTTGACCTTCTCTAGGCCACTGTGGGTTTTCTGCAATTTCTGCTCAGAACACTGTATAAGTTATTCTCAAAAATACTTGCCAGGAGTGCTGAGTGTAGGCATCTTCTTTAGAGAGAGACCTTTGTTTTCTACATCAGGAGTCTTAGATTCATTAGAGACTCCCCTGGCTTCTCTTTAGATGCCCTCACTTCTGCTAAGTATGCTCAGGTGTCTGTGGTCATCATGCTTTGGGCATCATTCTGTAGTTAGTGAGAAAATAGAACCTCCTATGCCTGATGAAAATGGCCTGTGTACATGTGCATGTTACTGCCACTATTTTAAAATTCTTTGAACAAACAGATTTCTGAAGATACTGGTACCATGAAATTTTCAAATTCTCACCTCAAGCAGTAATTGTTTTGGTTGAAAGACAAGGCATAAGATGGTATAACTTAAAAACTAGATAGTGTTTTCTTCTTAAATGTCTTAACTAGAGTAACTACTTATATGCAGTTTGAAAGTAAAAATATACAAACAGCAACAAAAGCAGAAATCTTATAATCACTTACGTTCTTCTTGGCCGTAACCGTTGATCACTATAGGGGATCAATGCCACCAGCTGGTTTTCTTGCCCTAAAGTTGAAAGATGTAATTAAAAATTCATTAACATCAATAATTAAAAATACAGTGGTGTTCTAGGAAAATGTGGTTTCAAAAGACTAGAATTCTCTCCTTATTTCTTTAGTACACTGTTATTTATATCTTCAAAAGTTGAGTTATAGAGAAGATACTATGTTTTTTCATAATGTCTAATTAATCAAAAGTAGAACAAATAATGAGGGCTACTGGATAAAAAAACAAAACTCAAAGCAAAACAAAACCGACAAGTCTTGGCTTTCAGGAGATCTGAACTTACCCTAGCATCTTTCAACTCCACTGTTTTCTACTCAGAGCAACTTGATGGAGAGTAGAAGAAACACATTGCTGCTGCCCTTTTCCTGCATCCTCAATCACTCCATGGCTCAACCAAACTGCTATTCTAAATCTCAAACTTTAAGGGCTCACTGTTCTCATTTGCAATCAGTGGTTTCAAGTGATCCCCAAGGAGACAATTACACCGTATTTCCTTACTTCACACTCTCTAAAACCCCAATTTCAAAACCCATCTCTCTTCAAACTCTCATCATTGCTTCTTTATCCTCATTCTTGGTCCATAATGTGGTACAGGAAAAGAGTGTCCCTAACTCTTTTCCTGTACCTTGCTAAGACTTCTCAAATGTCCGAAATTAAGTTACAGGATAGAAAACAGAAGAAAAAGAGTTAAGTTCATTTAACTCATAGCATCAAATAAAGAAAAGGAACAAGTGTTTTACACTCCTTTCCTGTATGTTGAAGAGGAAGCCATCAGACCACACTGCATTCTGCTTTTAGAACCAACCAACCAGGCAGGAAAATCTCTTTCTACATCCTCCTGCTCTCCATGGGCTTCTCTGTTATCCTGGAATCTTTTCTAGACCCAAAGTGAGCTCAAGGAAATAATTTCTAGTTTTTCTCCCAGAATTTCATTGTAGATTACCTTGGTCTCTTAGGTCCAGTGGACACTTTTCCAAGTACTATTTGGCCATGCTGCTTGTGACTTAGAGAATTTGTCATAGGACAAGCTTTTACCTTTGGTTAATATCTCGAACAGCTAAATAAGCCCTTTACTTCACAGACTCATCTGCATCAAGAGTTTGATTTAACAATATCTACCCTCCTACCTGTTTCTATGTCCCTTCTTTAGAAGCTCCATGTACCCTCTACAGGGCCACTCTCTGCACAGTAGGTATTATCTCTCTGTTCCTACGCAGGGGCATTGCTCCATTAACTGTCCCATCTCCTGTGTTACCTGTATGCCCTCTATGCATCACTTTTATCAGCATGCATACATCTAGCATTCATTCAATCTTAAAAGGGATCACTCTCCTGACATTACAACCTCCCAGCTACCAGCTCTCCTCCTCCTAGAGCAAAACTCACAAAACCTATTTCTTTATATAAGATGCTACATTAATGCACCACACTTTTTCGTGTATATTAATTCAAGAAAAAAATTGATTTTACTATGACACTGTCTATACATGCTGTTACAACTCTCCAAACTACTCTTTAAAAAAAAATCCTCAGTGGCCTCCACATCTCAACACCAATGGACAGGCCTCAGTCACCACACAGCTTCATCTGTCATCAGTGCTAACCGTGGCTCCCTCTTTCCTCCTCAGCACAATTTCTCTAGTTATCTTCTAGGACACCAAAGATTTCCCCCCCCCCCCCCGCTCTTTCTCTTTCTACTGACATCAAATGCTACATTGCCCCAGACTTCATGCCACAGTTGCTTCCTTTTCCTTCTATCTAAATTGCTAAGAAGAGTGTTCCCCTCAAATTCCACTTGAAGCATCATATTTTGATGATACCAGCTAAGACATGCTCTTCAATTTCAGACCCTCATAATTAACTGCCTATATTAAAACCTCACTTTGATATTAAACCCATCTTCCCCAAACATGTCTGCAACCGAGCTCCTTATCTTACTTCTGGCATGCAAACTCAAACTGTTCTTATGCCTATTGTGGTAAAAAGCTATGTCATTCTTTAAGTTGTTGGATAGAGGAAAAAAAAAAACTTTGGGGTGATCCTTGATTATCTACTTTACATAATCCACACCCAGGCTACCCAGAGCCTACTTGGCCATGTGTCAAAAGCATGCCTAGATAGACAGAAATAGTATTCCTACCCTACTACACTGGTGTATGAATTTCTTCAACTACAATACTTCTTTTATTCTTAAGCAGCTACTGTCTCCCGAAGGATAAAAGCACCATTCAGTAGCCTATGCAACAAGCCCCACTTAAAGCAAGGCACTTTTCTGAGACTCTGGATTTCCTCATTCAGTTACTTTGTCCTTCTTTAGGTCTCTTCAGGGTCCCTATTAACTTTTACCATGGAGAGAAGAAACCACAACACACTTTATTATTTGTCCTTTCTATCAATGCAATTCAAGTACCCTCCAAAGAGGAGGGAGAGGACTATTTCCTTTTCTCTTCCCCATGACAAATCACAAGCTCACGTTTTCCCCCCTTACTTGACTCTTCTTCATACATCATGCATTTCCTTTAATACCTAACTGCGACACAAGCAACTTATTCTTTAGAAAATGAGTTACTGCCATATTGGATATTTGGATATTAACTAGTAATATCCAATATGGCAAAATGAATGTGATATGGCTTCTAATGATGTCAAAAGGGACTTACATCCTCAGTGGAAACAACAGTGCACATTGACTATTATAGCAGACAAGCATGAAAAATACTAGGTGTGCTGAAGTCACGTCTATCAACTACTTTATGAACGTTACTGTTTGCTTTTGTGTCCTTCTGACTAAACAAAATTGGTGAGTTTTAATTTTGAATTGTTGGGGATAGAACTGCTTAAAACTACAGGCTTTATATCTCTTGTGCAAATGTTTGGAAAGCTTCTTTAAGAGGACTATCTATGGAGTAAAACATACCCCTAGGAATTCTTCCTGTTCCTTGGCAAGTGGGACAAGTGACACTATCTCTTCCGGTAAATTCCACATACGGAAACTGAGAGACATCTCCATTCCTTCCATCTTCATTATGCACTTCGTTGTTAACGAGTCCAGTCCTCATGTTGTCTGTCGATGTGACCCCATCATAACCATCTTCTTTATTTGAATGCAAAGGTAAATGAGAAAGAGACTTTCCCATGCCTAATGAAAAAGAAAAACCTGACAGTAAATTCCAGGAGCAAAATAATCTCCTGGGATATTTACAGGATTAGGTAAGTGTAAATTACTTGTAGGATTAAAATTGTATTCAATCAAAATAATGTGACACCAGGGAACCATTTGCTAGGACTCAGAAGTGCTTTTCTTACAAAACACTATGAAATGAAATAAGGCCAAAATGGTAGCATTTGGCAAAAGTTTACCGTGTAGACACTTGAGGCCTTCTTAGTGCTCTCAGAAGACATATAAGCTCTAAGATTTTACAAAAAAACAAAAACAAAAACATGTTTTAACTAGAAACCAGCTGGCACTAAAGGTGAAACTGATTGTTGGCTCACTACAACTGATATGCATACTCCAGCTAATTTCAAAGTGGCATTTCACTCATTCAAAATTCAAACTGCTTTAAGTTCCAAACTTAGATGTCTTACTTCAAGCCACAGCAGTAAATATACAACAAGAAGAAAACCTCTGAATGACAAGTTTTTAAAGCCATGAATATGTTTCTGTAACAGTCTGGCAGTTAAAATTAGGAAGCAAATATTCAAAAATATTAAACATAATTTTCCAGACAATGTAGCACAATTTAGTAAGTTAACGTCAAATTTTTAGGGTGACAGTTTAAATAACAGAAGCTTATAATCTAAGTGAGAATAGTTAGTACCAGCAGCCACATGGAAATAAGCGCTCCAGATAGGTCATATAACACAATAAAGCCTAAGATTTCATGAGGGAAAGGAACATGAAAATACGACATGCTTGTATTTTGAGAAAATATTAACAGAAATGGAAAACAAAATTTTAAGTGGTGCAATTCCTTTCTTTCTGTGGTTAATCATACCTCATTTATCAGTTTCTAAGTATCACTATGCAATCATTAGATATTACTTTTAAATTATTTTATTTAACAAATAAAACCAACGCCAAATAATGTCACCCCACAGGAAGGAAGCTTTGCTTTTCAAAATTTGTACACTGTTGAATTCCCTCACAGTATACAGAAATATTAAATTAAAAAACTTGAGTAGTACATAAGAGTAAAAGGGTAAAGAGATTAATAAAAATGGTTTTGAAAGTTCTATGTACACACTATATTAATGACTGTGACTTCCAAACAAGCAGTATCTTAACATGACTCAATGACAGCAAATAAGAGCCTAACCAACACTCACCAGCCACAGGTGCACAGGGATGAATTTTAATCATCACTGTGCCCACACACTGTGACCTTGGAAGCTAAGCAGGGGTGCTTTGGGATCAGCTGGCCTCTGTAGAGGGCATGGGGTACACCCTTGTAACTCTTTTAGGCAACAGGGTGAAGACTGTGTCCCACCGAGGGCTGCTCTTAAGGCAAGAGGCTGAAGATTGCCAAGTGGCTCTGGTCTAGGCCAGGTGTCTTCTCCAGATGCACAACAACCTTGACAAACTCTGCTCAGGTCTGGGCAGGCAGCAGATTAACCAGTTTCTTGAATCCTAGGCTTCGTGTCTAGCTTTTCTTGAAGGTTCAGACAGGTGTAACCACTGTTATTTTGGAGACTTACTTGAGGTTATAAAAGGAGTGCAAGATCCCCTTCTCCTCCTCCCTGGCCTCAATGTTTATACCGCGGTCTTGTGAACTCAACAGGGTCTGGAAACCGGGAAAAGATAAACACAGCATTGCAACCAACTGAGATGTGTCACCAGAAGCGGGGTCGGCTCTGGAGGGTTGGGGAGGGAAGGGAATTAGCGCCTTTCAAAAGGCGACACAAGCAAACCCCCCCCCGCCGGAAGACACCAACGTCCTTGGCACCTTGCAACTGGAACGTGACAACCCCAGAGCCACTGGGCCGCTCAGATCCAGGGCCCTGGCGTCGCCCCAGGCGAGCCAGGCGGGAGGCCAGGGCCCGCGGGGACAGCCCCGCAGCCGGCTCGCCGCGGCCTCCCTCACCGCTCGGGCCCCCAGGGTCCGGGTCGCTCACCCGCACGCGGAGCGCTGCGCGGTCACGGGATGCTCCGGGGCGGGCGGGCGGGCCGCAGGACGGGTCACGGCGTCCCCGATCCCGGTGCGGGGCGGAGCGCCGGCCTGGGAGCGGCCGAGCAGGGCGGGAGAGGGGCAGGACCACAACCGCATCAGCTGAGCGCCGCGCCGCGGAAGCCGGCGCGTGCGCCTGCGCAGTTCGCCCCTGGAAGGAGGGGTTGGGCTCCGGGACCGGCACTGCGCATGCGCCCTTTCTCATGCCTGCACCCCCCCTCCCAAGGGAAGCGGTCACGTGTGCCGTCACGTGCGCCGGCTCGCCCGGGTTTTGTCACCTAAAGGTTCTCCAGATTGGAAAGTTTAGAAACAGTACTAATCGTGCTTGGCTTACGAACGATCGGTTTCCTTTTCCCCCTCCATCAGGCCGATTCCTTTTGCGAAGGGGAAACGCTGCACCGTCGCACATTTCCGCGGGCCTTGTCACGGTGCTGAGAGGGGCAGCCACAAAACTTCCTCCCTGGGGTTGGGATGAGCTGGTTGGTGCACATCTCTGGCAACCAGGTGCACGCATTGTCTTGTTGAGTTTTCGTTCAGAATTCCCGCCACTGAGAGAAAGCTTCCCCCCCCCCCCCCGCCCCAAGTCTTTCTTTGATCTGGTTTTGACTTTGTACTTGAAGCTCACATTATTATTCCGTGCATGCAATAGGGTGTCTCTCCCAATGCGCATTAACAGGTAAGTAGTTAGAGTGTCCTGAAGGCCCCCACCCCCTACTCACCCACCCACTGCCCAGTCTTAACTCACAGTGAGTTGAGGCTACTGTGGACATGTATCGTTTTGGTGGTTCTCGAGAGTTAATCTTCAAAGGCTGGGGATTTTTCTTCCTTTTTGATAATCGAGAAATACAAAGGGTCTCAAAAGATGTCTGGATGGGATTATAACCTGATAAATTGAAACCAGAATCAGCTGGCTTGCTCAAGGGGTTAAGCAGTTTCCCTCTAAGTGGGGTTTTGGTGAGATTCGTAGAAAATTAGCAGAGTTATGACTAGAAAGGAGGAAAAGCCTTAAGCATCCATTAATTGTGATGCAATTATTGCTTATCTGCTGGAAAAAGTCAGCAACCCGGCTGGGTAAGGAGCTCCCAAATTGCCTGCCTTTCTTAACTGCTTTACTTGTATTTAAAAGTAGCTTAATTTATGATCATCTTCTGTAACTATAAAAACTTAATGAAATTACTAGCACAGTGGGACATGGTATGTGGAATAGCCTGAGTCTTTGTTTCCAGACCATGGTTAGTCATATATGGCTCCAGAATAAACTGTTAGCCCATTTGGAGGTGAGAACAGTGTTCTTTCCTTCCATACAAGCAGAATGTTTTAAGATAATTTAAAATCTTCACCTCCTTAGGTCTAGAAAGTCCACCCTGGGGAATTCATCTTAAGATTTAGAGAGAATTCTAAAATAAAATGGTTTACAGTGTGTGACCAGTCACATAAACTAAATTCTCAACAATGGGAATTGATTAAATCACACCAAGGGTGGGCTTGGTAAACACTGTATTCTTTTTAGATAGAGTTCATTGTGTCAGAATTGCTGCCCTGAAACTTCCTGTATGCCCAGGCTGGCCTAAAACTTGGAGACCAGTCTTCTTTCCCCACCGATGCTTCCAAAATGCTGAGGTTAAAGGTGTGCACCACCACACCAGCCAACCATGTTAAATGTCACTATGACAGCATTCAATTAGGTAGTTAGATCATAGTGGTCTTGATGATGGGCTGGGTTTTCAATTATTTTTAAAGGTTCACAAAGGAATTTCAATGAGGTTAAAGGGTAGCTCTTGTGGAGTCTTGGGTACGATGGCAATGGATAATATAAAACAACTTGCAGGTGTGCAGAAAGTTAGGACAACTTTACCTAAAACAAGTCTTGTTTGTGAGATATCCATAAAATATCAAGAATGAGGGCATACATGAGGTCTTATGCATTAAGTCTGTTGGGGCTTTTTTGTAGTTGTTCTTTCACAGTTTTAAAAAGAATTTTTTTCCTGTGTCAGCCGCCACCACAGTGAATGTTAATTGTGCTGGAATCCTTAACTGAGCTGGTGAGAGGCTTCAAGCAGATTCCAGAGGAGAGGCTATTTTTTTTCTTTTCGTGTCCCTATAATGTCCTCTACCTTTCTATACTATTTCTGTATGTTACCTCAATATTGCTACCACCACCCTTAAGAGTGGATCAAAACAGGCCTCTCAATCACCTAGACAGGAAAATACCTCTGAGAAGCTGTTGCAGAAAGTTGAAGCAAACAAAGCCTTTCTGAACATGTAGGTCAGCACAATGATGACTCGGATAGAGTGTTCCTTTACAATGATCTTCTGGTCTCTGCCCGTGCTCACTGTATAGAGAGCTTCACACTTTTCAGTAATTCTTTGTGTCTGACTTCTACACTATGCTCTATGGTTGTCATCTGAGTTCTTGTCATGGAGACACAGAGCTAAGAGGAAGCTAGAATGAGGTCGTGGTAACAATTTCTCATCTCTTATTTCTGCCATTTTTTTAAAAAGAGCAATAGAAATACCCACCACTTGCCTTTTTAAAAGCTTCAAAATAACTAAATATTGCATGCAATGTTGAATTAGCACCTGCTTGACTTGTATTATTTTCCAGCACTAGTAAGTCCTTCCTCAAAAGAATTTCTAAGGATGTGTTCACACAGCATCTTCTCTATTAATATCATTGGACACAGTCTTTATCCACATTATTAGAATTCAAGTAGCAATAAATCCCTAGGAGACCATTCTGCGAATTCAGTTGTACTGCCTTAGGAGATAGCTTGCCTGAGCATGAACTAAGCTCTTAAGTGTGTACATAACCTCGGAAACATTGGGTAAATACCATTGTTTATGCATATGCTTATTATTGTTAGAATGTAAAAGCAATGATGCTTGCTTTAAAAGGTTGTGACTATACCAGCTATTGGGTATACCATGAGAAAGATTTTGTTCATAAACAGATATTTTAAAGATTAATTGAATGTTAGGCACATTTTCTCCAATTCTTTTGTTTTAATCATTAAAGCACACTTTTTGTTTATTTGTTTTTTTGTTGTTGTTGTTTGTTTCTCGAGACAGGGTTTCTCTGAGGTTTTGGAGGCTGATCTGGAACTAGCTCTTGTAGACCAGGCTGATCTCTAACTTATAGAGATCCACCTGCCTCTACCTCCCAAGTGCTGGGATTAAAGGTGTGTGCCACCACCACCTGGCTTAAAACACACTTTTAAGGAAAAAATTCTGAAAAGTTTCTGGTCAAGTGCCAGTTTCCTGAATTCTGAGATCTGCATCAGTGCACATGCAGATTAGGTATGAGAGGAAATGATTTGAATATTTTGGGATAGCTGAACAGAAGTTGCAATCTAGTTAGATTCTTCACAGGTGTTGAAATTAAGGCATTTCTCCGCCAATTAAATCTCAAAACAGGCTTGTTCCTTTCAGGGTTCTCTTAATTTCCTTGGATGGGAATGACCTACATATTAACAGCAAGTGTCACCTTCTCAGAAATTAGTTGCTAAAACTTTTAAGAATACAAATAATTCATCAATATTTTACTCTCTTAATTGTTCTTAAGTATATGGTTTATTGTTAATATGCAAGTTAGTCACAACCTACACCTTTAAGTTTTAAGCTGACTGGGTAACATTAGGAAATGAGTTTGCTTGTTTTTATATATGCATACATTTTAAAGCTCCATTCTGTGTATAAATATCATGTACTTTTTGTCCTTCTAAGTCAGACTTATTCTACTTAACCATCTCTAATAGAAAACTGGGACTTAAAGGAGTGGAGTGTTTCTGGCCAGATTTCTGGGATAGTTTCCCAGATACATAACAAATTTATTATTCCCTGTGGCCGTTTGCCCTACATTCACTCATAGCAAATTCTTGGTTCTGTGGCTACAACTTTGCAGTTCCCTTTCTTTTGGCCTACATTCACTCATAGCAAATTCTTGGTTCTGTGGCTAAAACTTTGTTGTTCCCTTTCTTTTTAACCCAATATCCTGTGTTAAATTCTGCAAACAATTCATGTCTTTAAACCTGTGGTCCATATTTCTGAACAATCTCTTTTTTTTATTAGCTCCAGGTGCATCCATACTAATTCCTATCTACATAGCCTAATTTCTCTCAATGTATTCATATTTTAATACTAATGACTAACTTTAAAACGATTTTCAACTTTAACTGTCACAATCAACTAATGAGAAAATGTTAGTAATCAGGTAATATTTAATGAATGAACTGAATTTGTTGTGTCCTACAGTGTAAAAAGTATTTTAATTCATCTATTAAGTTCTATGGAAAGTTTTTGGATTATATTCTATATAATATCACATTTATTTTAAAGAGAGGAAATAGATACTGGAGAGATCACTCAGTCTGTAAAGTATTGTCCCACAACTATGAAGAATCTTATTCGGTTCTCCCAAAACACACATTCAAAATTTGGGCATGGAGTTTTGTTTCTGTAATCTCAGCTCTGGCAAAGCAGAGACTGGCCTTGACAAATCCATGAGGTCCATATTCAATGAGACTCTCTGTCTCAAAAACCGCAGTAGAGAATACTTGAAGAAGAATCCCTGTGTAAACCCTGGCCTCCACATTTGTAAATGTGCATGCTTATCCACATGAATATCCACACAGCAACATTAGGAAAGGAAGAAGATTGAAGATTCCAGATTATGTCATTTATGTATGTCCACACAACTAGCAAATTTGAGAACTAAAAGTCAGAAAAGCACAAGCTATTCCCCATTGTGACATAATATCTTTAAAAAAAAGGAAATAATGGTTTTTGTCCAAGTGAAGGGTTAACATATATCACCATCGAGAGATGTGTAGTAAGATAAATTTTCTATTATGCCTTATGAAGGGATTCATCCTTTGCTGATCGAAGAAGAGGCAAACTCCCTTGGTTAAGTACTGAGCTGAACTCAAGAA